CTCCAAAAACACGAGGAGCCAAAACAAGCCTGCCATGATTGAGATCTGAAAGTAGCAACATGTGAAAGAATGCCTTTTTCCATCCAAGTCTTTTTCTCGTGACCCTGGAACCTCATCTCTTCCTGATCTGCCTGCGTGCTTGCTTACTTGTGCGTGTGTGTTTGTTTGTCTGTGTGTGTGTGTGTACATCCTGTGTGTCCCGCTGCTCCACGGTATAGGGGGAAAGATCTCTGGGAGCAGTCATCTGTGCATGACTTCAACTGGGAATGTATGTATCTCTAGAACGGACACATTGGGCTGCGAAGAATCGAACACAGGTCACGCAGGGGGCAGTTTCTCGGAAACTGACAAAGACACATTGGGTTACGCACAGAAGTGTAGGCACACACATAAACAAACCCACGCACACAAACTCAAATGCACAAACAATGTGGTTTGGCCATGCACATTCAGAAGTATGAGGAAAAATGTTTCCCACTGTGCAAATCCCTTTAAACAGCGTGTGTTTCTTGTGAATGGTTTATTTGTTGATATGGGATATTGAACAGTATCCTGAGACATTCAACAATTACACGGTCTAGCTTGGCAATAATGACCTTTTCTTTCACACCGCATCATTTATCATTAGCAAAGTCACATGAAATAGTGATGTCCATAAACAGGACATAACATTAAGACCTTGTTGAAGGCTGAAACAATGGAAGGTCAGTTATGATTTTGTTGTGCTCTTTCTTCTTCGGGACTTCACGGGTTTGTGGTCAGTGTTATCCCCAAAGAGGAGGCCTTTGGCTCTGGGGGATTTGGCCTGGAGAACTGAGGGTTTGGCCGATGGAGAGGCAGCTGTTTACTTGGAGAGAAACCCTGCTCTCCCTCCCTGCCTCCCCATTCTCTTCATCCCTCCACTGCCTGACACTCCCACTCTAATGAAGGGCCCTGTTAAAACCACCCTGATATTATAGCGCGCTTTAGTCCACACAAACAGTCTCAGGGCGCACACACACTCAAGGTCAATTAAACAGAGGACTTGCATGTGAGGGCTAGGATTGCACGGCTGTGAGGTGACTGCAGTGTCAACTTACACCGAGCTGATACATTTGCTGTTTGTCTTGGACTTTTTTAGTGTCTGGGAATTCACCTAATTTTTCCTCCATGGTGAGCTATTTGATGAAATGTACCTGATATAACACAGGTATCTGATAAACATAATTTGCTTGTCAGTGTGTATGTGTGTATTTGTGTGTGAGTGTGTGACTCAGAGTTCAGATGTAGGCCAGACGGGGGAAAACGGCACCCAGCTGCATAATGAATGAGGCTCGGGTCTAGCATTACGTTTCGTTGCTCTTTAATCATTAAGAATGGGCACTGGCAGGGCACTGGCAGGGCACCGGTGGCAGACAATGTCATCCTGCCATGTAAGTCTTACCCCTGATCACGCTCACAAACACAATGCAACAAACCTACTCGACAAATTGCCATACTCAGTCGACAACCCATAGTTGAGGCAAACTTGTTAACTTGCAACAGAAAATAACGCAAACCTCTGTAATATGGATCTGGATCTGAATTGCACTGCTTTCATTTAACATTTACAATAAGACAGCACATGTATCCATGCGTAATGTCGTTCTGACACTCAGGATTAACTACGGCCATAAGTCTGTGATTTTGCTTTCAACTTCACATTCTTTACAACATCAAACATGGGATCTGTTGCCCTCCATTCAAATCTCTTTCGCATGATCCTTGATCCTCGTCTTCTCCTGGTCTGCCTGCATGCTTGCTTACATATGAATGTGTTTGTGTACTTGTACTTCTATTTTTGTGAGGACCAGTTTGAGTAATAGACCCCATGATGTAAAGGCATATTAAAAGCTTACGCAGGAACTCTTGAATTTTCTGCCTTCCACACCAATTCCACAATCAGATATATTTTACATTTCCAAAAAGCTTTTTGCAGACAAGAGGAAATGTCACCCCTAAGGAATCAGGATGAACATTGATTCTCGCGGGAAACAATGGAAGTTCCTTGGGCCTGAATTTCAATCGGTCTGTATTCAATCCCATGGCTTTATCAACAGAACCTCTCCCCATGGACCGCATACTATACGTAGCTTTAATTTCCTGAAGCGGATTAAGCCCATGCAGCCACACCAGGCTGTATTGTAAAGCATCTGGACTGAGTTATCTCCCTCTGCTGACCTCTCCCCGTGAATAATCCCTTCTTCTGTTTGGCTGTGAGGCCAGCTAGAAGGGGACAAAGGTCAGTTAACTGCCTCATCAATGTTTAATTAGACTTACAGCACTTTCTGAAGAATCGAGTAACTCGGAAAATTGGATACTTGGAACTTTGGGTGAGGGAAAATATAGCATTTTTTCTTTTCTGTGCAGAATCTTTCATGCTTTTCATTTTATTCACTAAATGTGACAAAAAGAGACACTCACTCACTGAGAGGAGGGATTTGGGTTTGAGACAGACTCAGTGCATTACTGTGGCTACATTGCTATGCAGCCCAAAGGGGTTGGCCTCGAGCTGAACTTGTACTAAGGGGGGTGGTATGAGGTGTAATGGGGACTGGATGTGATGGTGTGGCGGACCTCCAGGTTATCCCTCACTTCTATCTGGGCAGGCACCTCTGTTCTCCCCTCTTGATTTTAACTCAAACCACATGTTGTTGGCTCTGTGGATCCTGCGTCTGTTTCTCCACATTGTTACGAATTAATGGCCGTGTGTATGTGCTGTGTGTGGGCAAACGTTACTATTATTATTCTGCCTCTGAGCTAGTCAACCCAACTAGCTAAGTTGCACAGTGGCACAAACAGGCACAATTAGAGTCACAATTAACTCTCTCACGCTGTTTAAAGTCAGTGCATGAAATAATTGTATTCTTTTTAATTAAACATCTGTTTGACAAACGCCACATGCAGCCGCAGCTCTGCAGCTGGAAACTTTCACTCTGGAAAGAAAGGGAATTTTGATCCTGGAAAGCGGTGGAATGGAAAGCACTCAAAATGGCATTTTCACCGGAGATGATGCAATAGAATAGGCAGAGCAGCTCTATAGTTATACAATGCACAAATTACCAGTAGTCACATAAGAGTCGCAGGGTGGATCAAAAGCAGAAAACACCATGGTCTCTGTCATGTGACAAAATGACAAAGCATGTGATCCTTGAAAAGGAATCTGGATAGTTGAAGTCAATATTTCTTTCTTCACAGAAATATTCCATGTTATCCCTTTAAGACTATAATCCACTGGGGCTTTTGCATTGTCTGTCTTTGGCACTACATCCTGGGGAGCTTGAGAAAGGGGGCCTGCTGGTCCCTCCTGATGGGAGAGTTCAGAATACCCCACCCAAATTTAGGGGGTCTTTTTTCAGCCAACGCCCACTGCTTAGTGAATACCGAAGGCATTGCGTATGGGAGTGGCTGACCAGAAACATGTGTTTGGAAATGTATGTATAAGCATGTTCTGTGAGGGAAAAGAGAAAAAAGCAATCATTGCACACTGAAACACACGCAACAATCAGAAACTACAGAGAAGTGTGGGAGGAGTGTGCAGACAGTGAGAGCAGAGCTCACCTAATGGTATTCTCTTTGGACTCCTACTGACCTATGACAAAGCAAGTGTCGTTTAGCTTGAACTCCAGCCAAAAACAGCAGGTGTGTAGGAAAGTGTGGAAACATGCACATGCAGGCTGAGCTATCTGTTTCCTATTTCTCGCTTCGGAAGATATTCAGACCACATCAGTGAAAGATTGGCCTGCAAACTTCAAAAAGCCTCGAAACATATTAAACACATGGCTATCCCTTTAAACATGTGGGACAAGAGTTTTCCCTCCTCTAAACCACTTTATGTGTAACTTAAATTAAAAGGAGCGCTCTCTGAATGGGCCTGTACAGTAGGAAATAGAAAGCACTTCCGCCTGTGAGCGCTTTATGCTGGTTTGTCTGATCTGTGAAGCAGCCTTCCTCGTTCAGCTGGGAGTTGTTTACCCATGTGGTTTGACGTGGTCGTTTTTTTCCAGCCTTCACCACAGAGTTTAAAGACAATAAAGTCACACTCTTTTGGGTGTTATTAACTTTTTGGACAGTAAAAGTGCTTATATTCTTTCCCACATTGCATTGATGCTTACTTTATATCTCTCCTTTGTTTCTTGTAGATGAACCGAGGCCTCTTTCGCAGTTAAATGGGCCCCTGCTAGCCCTGGGGCCCCTTCCCACTCTTACCACCCCGCCCACCCCACCCATGGACTCCCCCGTGCCCACACTGTGCCCCCTCCTGCCCACCCTCACCCCTCCCTTGATCCCCCCTTCCCCCTCCCCAGGCTGCGGAATTGGCAGCGCCACCTCGGAGCAGCCCGGAGCGGGAGCCGCCGGCGCCTCGGCCTCCAGCAGCCCGTCCAACCCAGAGACAGAGGAAGACAAGGCCAAGAAGCTGCTGTACTGCTCACTGTGCAAGGTGGCAGTCAACTCATTGTCACAGCTGGAGGCCCACAACAAAGGTGGGTTCATGCATGACCTCTGATTGCTGCCAGAAATTAACTGGCAATCCAACCACGAGTTGAGTGTGATTCTCTTTGGATGTTGTGTTGGGTGTCTGGTTTTTCTCTGTGGTTGGATTCTCAAAACTACTGCAAACAAAATGTTTCCCAACCTGTGTGTCTGAGGAATTTTGCTTGGAAAGTCCCATGAAGCAACCTAAAACTATGACTCTCTATAATTGACCTAAAAAATGCAAATGCTTGTTAGTAGAATACCTTTTTGCACAATGTGAAGATAAGATACTTACATCATCTCAACTTTCCTTGACTAGACAGGGGTGAGAGGTTAGAAATGGGGGAGAGAAGAGAGGTGGGTGGAAAGTGGGGGGAGAATTGAAATGAAAATTTCTCCGTTAGTTCACAACTTTCACAATCACTGTTGCCAGGAAAATCAAATAGTAACTTCATAAAGAACTAGAATCTCAGTAGAGTGAATTCCTCTGCCAAGGCCCAACAGCCTCCTTATTAAACCACATCTAAATTCACAAGATCCAGCTTTTTATTTGGATCCGTAGCAGATTTCGCACAATTTCAGATACTGCTCAATAAAAAAACAAATGTATCCTCCTTGGTGGTAAACACATTTAAACTAGGGCAAAGAGCAATTAAATAGTCATTTAAACACTGTTACTGTTTCTATATATACACAATTTATGCTACTTACAGATCCTCCTCACAGTTGCACACCCACACACACACACAAATTTGATTGAAGAAATGTCCTGAGTAAGTGTTTCAGGTTCAGTGCGACCCAGCAGAGGACGCTGAGAATAACTCTGATCAGCAGATAACTGATCTGTTTGACACTGACAGGCAGCACCTCCGCAACCGAGCGGCTCAGTCAAGGTGCCTCACCTCACCTGAGCGTCTGCTCGCTCACACGGCATGCTGCAAACACATCAACACCCCAATCACACAAGAACATATCATTATGTAAAAGAGAACTTTCCCCCTGACTCAGAGACTCATGATTTATCTTGTCATTGGCAGCAGGAGATGTTTAAAAAATGTGTTCAGCATAGCCTGAAGCCTTTCTCTTGAGAAGTTGTAGAGAGGGATGGTTAAGGCAGATAACCACTGTATGGGGATTTAGAGGGAAAATAAAAGAGATATTGGCTGTTATGTGTGTGAGCTCACTACAACAGCAGCCTCAACATTCAGTCAGACAGCTTTCACACATGACGACACTTTCTCAGGGGGTCCAAATATCCCCGAGCTGCTGTCTGCCTGCTTTAATTCTTTATGGCCTACACTTCAGCACTGCCTGTGACCTTGTTTACCTCTGAGAGCAGTTTCTACCTGCTGGATCTCCGCTCTGTCTTCAGGGAGTCGTACTCTCCTCCACGCACATCTACTCCAAATAGAAAAACTACAACACACAGCAGGGACGGCCTCCACATCAGTGTAACTCAATCCCACTTCCTTTGAGGTTTGTTAGACGGCTGCCAACAGATACCTCTTAATGTTGAAGTGTTAATCAATAAATGTGGACTCACTTCATGGTCCGATTAACCCATGGAAGATTTTTATAATTCACATATCACGCTTTGATTCATTCTGTAGGATCAACTTTCTAACAGTACATTTGCATTACATCTGCCCACCAGCACATCGATTATGTACATGCACATGGAAGTAAAACAACACAAACACACAGTATATTACAGCTTCTAAACATGACCACAGCCTCGTCAGATAATTAATAAAGTTTATCGCCTGGATTAATAAGAGAGGAAATGGCTGAAAGTCTATGAGCGAAATGATCTGGAAGTAATCACCCTTAATCATTCTCAAAATCAATACGGTGCATGTTAGCAGGTTTCAAAACTAAAAGCATATGCCGTGCAGACACAAAGACATGAGCAGCATGCGTGGCACAGAACAAACTGCAGAGAAGACCAATAAAAAAGAGAGAAAAGACTAAGATTGATGAAGCTTATGTAATGTTATTTTAGTATTTATGCAGTTTCCTGTCAACACACTGCATGTTTTTGTGAGTTTGCAAATGCTCCTTGTCTCCGTATGTGACAGTTTACGCTATGAGTCAACCGCACAAAGACAAAAACTCCACTGAGCCATCCATTGTCGGACCAAAATAGAACAAAGGCAAAAACAGACACCCCAGGAGCACATTTCTGGCCACAAGCAAAATCCACCATTCCAGCCCCTTGCTCCACAGTGGAGCCCACAGCCTCCATGTCCCTACCTGCCACCCGACCTCCACGATTTCCGTTCTCTTCTGTAACCTTAACTATGTTCAAAGGGATTTTAGAGAGTGAGTCAGATTCAAAGTCAGAGCCAGTGACAGTGCAAGACTTTACTCTGAGAGCAGAGAGGCAAAGCAGTTGTTCTTTCACTGAACAAAACAGGAACAAAATGTGTGATTATTGAGAAACTATTCTGGCACACTCATGTCGCGTGCTGCTTTGCAGAGCATTAGAAATGGAAAGTAACAGCTCTTCTCCTCTATATATTGCAAAATTAGAGATATTATAAAACATACTGAACATAGAAATGCTATACATGAAAGTATGAAACATGCATCCCCACAGTTCAGAATATCTTAAATTGTTTTTAGCATGTGGACATCATTTATCACCAGCGTCTGACAGAATATATTTGTTCTGAACTGCTTGGTATTCAAGTTTTTATTATTGCAGGTGTAATAATTGGATTTAAAACAGGATGCAGGGGGTCAGAACATTAAGATGACTGAGTTTGTGTGTTTTATATTGATTTATGTCCACTGTGTTAAACACACTTCTATAATGAAGCTGCTCAGTGTGTTGACTGCTCAGCATTTTTGATGGTTGACAGAAACAATGGCATTTCAACAGCAGGCACCATTACACAGTGTGGACTTCATTCAGAATTCAACATCTTTATCTGTTCCCACTGTGAAACAGTAAAAAGCACAGGTGTAATGATTTTATAGCAAAGACTTTGGAATCCATGCCAAGACAAACCTGCTTCTCATAATAACCTGCCCTTCAATTTTCAAACTTTGACATTTACGGACAGAATTATTTATTTTGAAAGTTAAGCTTCGGCGGTTTTGTGCTTTCATCGATGTTGGCACATGTGGTGGAGATACTACATGCTGCAAATAATGTTTGACCTCATCTCAACCTCTCCACTCATTCAAACATAATCAATCTGTTATAATAATAACATCAGAGGGGGCTTTGAGTTTGTCCTCCACATCACCAGCTGCACAGCTTTCCAACTGCTGCCATCTACTGGTGAAAAGCTGGCACTACAACTTCTTATCGCAACACATTCTGTAATTTATGTCCTGCATATGTTGTGATTTACTGGAGAATCAAGAGCCTCATACATATTCTTTTCTTTAGGCTCTGATCTTTGTGGCTGTTACTGATTTTCCATGCTTTGAGCTGCAGAGAAACACTGTCCATGCTCATATTCATTTAGTCAGGTGGAAGCAGCATGACTCATATGTTATAAATAGTGATACATCTCCAATGTATTACTCCATTTTATTCCATTAGCTTCTAGGTAATTTCATCTCGGTTAATGACATTGCCGTGTATTTGTTTCTGTGCTTCTCTTCGTGTAGGTACCAAACACAAAACTATTCTGGAGGCACGGAGCGGGCTGGGCCCCATCAAGGCGTATCCTCGCCTGGGCCCCAAACCCATTGGAGAGCAGGGAGGGGGGCCGGTGGACCCCAACACTCAGGAAAGAACCTTCCACTGTGAGATCTGCAACGTGCGGGTCAACTCTGAACTCCAACTCAAACAGGTAGAAAGAAGATAATCAACCAATGTGTCTGGATTTTTCATCTGTTTTAATGGTCCACCATGGAAAACATTTAAACTTACAAATAGTGGGGCTAATCTGTCTTCCTGTGTTCTCTCCTCCCAGCACATATCAAGTCGAAGGCACCGGGACGGCATGGCGGGCAAGCCTAACCCCCTCCTCAGCCGACACAAGAAGCACAGGGGAGCTGATCTGACGGTAACCTTTCAAACTCCCAGTTTAATTCTGACTCAGTCAACAAACCTGAGAGCCACAGAGCAAATACACAGTGATAAACAAGAACACGAAGTGTGGTTAAGGCACGTTGATCTGGTCCCTTCCAAAGTGTGTCTGTTTTTGGCTGTGTCTGAAATCTCTGCATTATGACAAATCCAAAGAGTCTGAAAAGGAAGATCTATATTTGTTTCCCCGACATGTTTTGACCTTCTGGTTCTAATGCTTTTATCCCTCTCTCTCCCTTCCCCCTCGCTTGTTTTTCCTGCGTCACCCCCTTCTGTTTTTAGTCTTCTTTGACCTTCTCTAAGGATCTCACCAAAGCTTTGGGTGCAGGCCTCTTGCCCAGCCCCTTGGCTGTTGCTGCTGCAATGGCCGCTGCAGCTTCGTCGAACCAGTTGGCCCTCCGTGCGGCAGCTTCAGGGCCTCACCCGCACCATCACCTATTGCAAGGCCCGCCTCTCAGCCACGCCATCCTAAGACCTGCTCCGGGGCCCATCCGCACCACCCACGGGCCAATCCTCTTCTCCCCTTACTGACACATTACCTGCTGACTTCGGCCAGTCAGGAACAGCCACTCCAAAAGCACACTGTGAAGATACAAACATGATCAACAAACAGCAATTGATAGGGGGGCGGGAAATCCAATCATTTAAATATTGAACTGAGAAAACAAGGCAGCAGAGAGGAGTGGAAGTACTGTATATGTCTCTCTTTCTTCCCTTTACCTGAAACTCTCCCTTCATTTCAAAGACTTCTGGGTGATGGAATAAGCAGAGGAGAGATATTCATTATGCATTGAACTCCCTTGGGCATCTCTCACCTCCCCTGGTCCCTCTCCCTTGCACTGTGGCCCTGTCACGGCCGCCTCGATGGCTACAGACAAAACACATGCAGACCTTTCCGGAAACATTAAACCACATGTAGTGTTACATAATTATTCCCGGCCAGGTTGGTTATTCTCCTGTCATCATGGCTCAACGTGTTCTTCTCATCCTATGCACCTCAAAAACCAAGACAGTAATGTTTTGTCAGTAGGGTCCTCGCTGTTTGCGTCACATGTAGCTGTGCTAGCCTCTGCCGTTCTGTACATGCCCCCTTCTGCACTGGAGGCCAGCAACTCTTCAGTTTGTGACACTTAGCTTCTCGCTAGATACAGCATGACTCGGGCTGACAGGACCGCATCTGAGCGTCTGATGGTTGTGTGTGTGTGTGTGTGTGTGTGTCTGTGTGGGGGGACAGAGAAGTGACTGCGGGGATTGTGTTCCCCACTGTCATTTCTTGAGAGGGTGAGGTGAGAGGAGGGCTGGCACGGGTCAGTGGAGGGAGTGACCCCAGGCGGCATGCAGACACACAGGCCCGAACGAATCTGTGTTTTTTAAAATAGACTGTACCAACAAGCATCGCTGCAGGGCACATCTGCCAACCTTCATATTAGTCAGAGCAGAAGCTCTCAAAGGGGAGAGACGACGGGGAAAACAACAGAATTCACACATTGGTGCGTACTGTACTGCTGTATTATACACAATCACTGTCCATAGCTTAGAATGCAGATGGGAAGGTTGTGTGCTTTTGCTCACAGTAATGAGTAATATTTAAGAACATAACTCATACGATTAGAGCGAGACTTCTATTCACATGAAGATATCAAAAAAGCATTTACTGACATCCTGACCATCACCCTGGTCTTTTGATTGGCTGCGTAGGTGTGAAGGTAATGACTTAGGTCTGACCCTGGAATCCGATGTGTTCATGTTCTTTCTGCATGCAGCCGCCACCATGCAATAAGCTCCTGAAGGGTCAGGCCTCTGCATCACTGGGTGGACATCTTTCATTCCTGCCCCATTCTCCTCACCTCCCCCGTATCCAAAGGTTCAAATTAGTCCATGGTCGAGGGCACATTGGCGCTGGCAACCATTATGCTGAAAGGGAACAAATTAAAAGAGAGGACAATGAAAGCCAAGCCAAATACGTTCTCGGAGAGATGATGTGGAGCCGGAGTGACAGCCGAGCTCAGAAGCCCACAGCGAAGCCACTCGGAGCTGGAGCCCAAGGCGTCCATCAATACTTCCTGTCTTACAATTGAAAGCCATGAAATGCACCATGATTTGTTTTCTTTTACAAAGACTGGTGAGCACTTTGTTTTGTTTGGTTTGGACTGTTTGTTTATATCATGCATAAAAATGAGCAAAATGAGAAAAAAACATGATAAAAATATTTTTGTAGGTAGAAAATGTTGATATCTGCATCCGTGAAGGGAAAAGCAGAAAGGCTGGAGTCCAGCAGATCATGGATTTGAGTGACGTACAGGCACAGAAACTAACTCAGCGGGCAGCCACAGACCTGACTTGTCTTGCTCGACAGCTTGAAGCTATCACTCCCTTTTTTCTGAACAAGATGTACACTGTGCCCTTTCATTGAGAAGCAATGAGCTCTAATGTCTTACCTTTGTCTGAATATTGCAATGCAATGAGCAATTTTTATCAGAGTGACTTGTTATCATTGTGACATGTTGTCTGGAGTCATGTGTAAACCGGGAGCATGCCAGCTGACAGACTTTTCTGTTCTTCCATGAGGCGAGTGCGAGCCCTCGCAGGGATTTAAAGAGGGACAGAGAGAGGTAGAGGTGGAGCTGGGTTTAGGTACTGACCCTTCATATTAAAGGGCCTTTTTACTATGGTAATCTCTGCTTGGGGAACAGGGTACAGTGCCAGGTATCAAGGGATTATTAAAGACAGATGTTTTTTTTAGTTCGACTTACTGAATTGCATTTTTTTTTCTGTGTGTGTGAAATGTGTTTAAGTGTAAGTCCTGAGGAACATTATCAATGCCATTACTTAAAGAAGAAACTGGCTCGGGGTCCGCTTCCACCGTTGTGCTTTTTATTTTGTTGTTGTTGCTGGACGAAGCCTCCTTTGCAGAGTTAATTCTGTGTGTGAGATAACTCTTCTAGAATCCATGCTCTCTCTCTCTCTCCCATTGGTGTGTGTGTGTGTGTGTGTGTGTGTGTGTTACCATGTATTCTTGTGTGTGTTGGGACCAGCCCTTGCCCCCCTCTCCCCCACCAATCAGAGACAGAAGCGACCTGGAGCTATAGTGCCCTAACAAAACATAAACATGCACACGTTTGGTTTAGGAAGATTAATCAGTCACCTTGGATAACTATCAGACTTTATCAATGACCCGACCTGACAAAGTACTGCAGTGTCCCTGGTAGGTCAGTCAAGTAGCAGCACCACAGATATGTTCATATCGTCCTTAACACGTTCAGTCTGTGGTTATTCCCATTGATCCATTTCATCATTCACGTATGGGAAATAAATGTTAGATTCCTTTTTTCTGGGCAGGTATTTCATGTTAGCTGTGTTTAGGCAACTAGCCTTAGCCTTATTCTGCCCTCAGTCTCTCCCAGAGAAGAGAGAGAGAGAGATGGAGAGGCTACGGTGTAATTTTTTTGTCTTGCCAATAAAGTTATTTTTGAATTTCATTGTCACGGGGGACAACGAGTTTGTATGGCGAACTGTAGCAATACCTGACTCATTCTGGCTACTCTTGTTTATTGCAATAAGAAAATGAAACAATAAATGTGTATGTGAGTAAAACATTATAAATGTAATTTAAATGAAAAAGAAACTTTATGGTAAATACTATTGGTATCAAGAGAAACCATGGTGGAAATAAAAAAGTACATGTCAATAAATCATTAAATGAAATGAATGTCTGTGCTTTTTATGAATCATTATATGGTTGACTTGACAATAATGATTTTAGATGGTAAAGCTGGATCAATCAAAATACTAAAAAAATTAAATCAAAGGTTATTTATTAGGAGTGAATATGTGCAACCATTCAACCATGATTAATTAGTAGAATATATATATATATATATATGTGTGTGTGAATTACAACACATTCCTCCCAGTAATCTATTGTCATAAAGGAGTCGCTCAATTAACTCTGTTGAGATTTATCCCAAAATGACACCTCTCACATCTGTTGCTTTCAAACAGAGAGAAGACGTGTTCAGATTGGATCGAAAGATGCCCACTGTAATTTGTTCCAAAATTAATAATCAAACTTAAGGGATAGTTCACCAAGAAATGAAAATTGACTCAATATCTACTCAACACCAGAAATAAAGATTCACCCGATATCTACTCAACACTATGCTGATGGAGGGGTTGAAGAAATCACTCACTGACATTAACTTGCAAATTATTGTTTTCTGGAGAAGGAAGCTTCTCCCATGATGTCATGGTTCAGGTTCTGAACATGCCATCATGAGTGGGCCCGAATTTAAAGAAAACCATGCTCTTTATAGAACCAAACTTTTCTTCAGACGGGCCAGAATATCAGAGACATCAGAAATATGTCTTTGAGGAGCAGATTCAGTCAGAAGACTGTTGCTGCATTGTGCTGTGTGATGAAGAGCTGCATTGTTCTGCCTTCAGCTCATTGCTGATTTCCTCTCAGAGACGACCCTTCTCGTTTCCACTGGGACTTTTTGTCTTTAACCATTTGCAACTACAATGACTGCAATTCTCTGCATCTTGTAACAATATAGAAACCAGCCACTAGATGGTCCTACTGTCCTGACTGGGAAGCAGGTCCATATTCAACAGTGCAGTGAGACTAACAAAGAGCTCTTTTTATTCAACATTGCACAAGCAGTCAAACTTATTTGCACATCAGCCTTCTGTAACAATGCAGTGCTTTAGATGTAATATGAAGCCCGACGATCGAGGACATTCAGTACTGATGTTTGCAGAAAGTATCTATGCAGTACATTATGTAGAGCCCTCCCTTCAGCTCTGTGAATATATAAATATATACAGTATAAATCATTATCATCATCACTTTCTTAATGCTGGTCGGCCATTGTAAAGTAAAATGATTCATACAGTAGAATTATGCAGCAATGTAAAGAAAAAAGAAAAAGTTTCAACTTAAAGACGACTTTATATAACATGTTGATATCAAAGTCTCTGTATAAAGAGTGTAACCCTAATATATACAGTATATGCAGAGGAAACTCTTGCACATCGGCATCCTTGCTTGGAATTGTGGGAACATAACCACTTTTATAAATAGTCATATTAATCTACCCTTTTTATTTGGTCCTATGAATTTAAAATTCAAAAGCATTGACAGGAACATTGACCATCTTCACTTTGTGAGGCTGCTTTATGCACATATGAACAGACACTGCCCGTCTGTGCAATATTGCTGTAATATTTAATAATAGTAAATAATGAAAATAACGGTTCTCAACATTGATTTCGAAGTACAATACCTTCACTGTGGCATTTTATTTTGACAGATATTTATACCATCAATTACTTTTGACAGAAGACATGAGGAGCCCTCAATATGTTTGTTCCTCTTTTTCACTTGAAATGGGGAGTTTTTTTTTGTTTCTATTCTAAAGAGCACGAGTCCTAAAAGCAAAAGCATAATGGCACTGACCTTGGTTTGCACTAGATAGCCATAAGAGGGGGACCAAAAAGCTCTTATCTTCAGAGCCCCATGCATTGAGATGTGGCAATAACACATTGAGACGGCCAGACGGGATCTTCAAATGGAATTTGAAGAGGTAGAGATACGTACCTGCACTTTTGTCTAAATGGAAGTCTGCACCTCAGAAGAGAGGCCATGTTCTTAGTCGCCCTTTCTGTCCTCCTCGCTGGCTCCCTCTCTGTGTAAAGAGTTTTGCATCACACATGGTGTGTATGCAAAGCAAAGCTACAAGACACATCTGATCTTTGATACTAATGAGAAAACAAGAATGTCCCTTTCTGCTTGTTAAAGAAGATAAGCTGTCGACAGCTGTTTGCCAACAAGAATCAGACAAATTAATTTTGGCAGCCTCAGGGGGAAAAATGAGATAAAACAATCAAGGAGACATTTTGTGCATGATTGAGATGTTAGAATTACATTCACTGCACATGTTCCCAATCCAATTAGGGAACATGCACTGAATAAACTCAGAAGCTAAAACGTCTGAGGCATTTGATATTAGAAATACTCCCCTGCTGTATTTCTATCAAATGCCTAATTAGAAGAAGCTCTGAATGTTCATTACAGTTTTTCATATTGTGGATGCATGACAATTTCATTTTTATTTTAAATATATTCAAATATCTGAATCTTAACTTAACCCTGATATAGAATCTTAATAGAGTACCATTTGAGCTATTATTGAAAGAGCATGAATTGAATGAATCATACACAGGAAACTAGTCCCCATGATTAATATCTTAGTCTACATGAATAAGAGCATAAAAGCATTTAAAAGCTTTTTAAAAAATATGACAGCCATTCATTTTATGAGATATCTTCAGAGCAAACATTTGCCACTGACTAAGTGTGTACACTCTGCACTGCCTTTCATCTACAAAGTGAACAAGCTCAAACATTTGATCACCAATGCAAAATGTCAGAACCCAAAGATAACACCATATCAGAGGCAGAGTGGGATGGAAGAGGACATCATCAGCATGAAAACACATCTCCCTCAGCGTTACAGTTAAGGTAAATTCAGGCGTGCGCTATCCTGTCTGTCTCCACCAACATGAGCTGGCAGGTTCAAGTGCATCAGAGATAACTAGCGCAGCCTGGGAGGAGCGATAGAAAACACAGCGGCGCAAGTCTGTAAACTAATTTTCTTCAACTAGTCGTGAAACTGTGATGAACTGTAGCGCTCGTTATTTTCACTGCAGCTTCTTGTCTCGTCTGAAATGCTGGATTTCATTTGTGAAGCTACTCACACAGGGACACTCATCAGAGGAAAGCTGCTTTATTGTTATACTTTAAGACTTGACTCCCCTTCTGCATCACAAGTCTACCTCTGTTTCTATGATGTTCTTTTCTTTCTATATTCTCTCCATTCTTCACTCTCCATTTATCAACCCTCACTTGGCTGCAGTATTTGTGTGGAAACCTCAAGACTGGAATCTGTGTAGGCCACGAGACAGAGGGATCAGTCCCCTGCCTCATATCTTGTCTTCCTCATGGAAATTATGTCCTCAACAATACATGCAATAATTAAACTCCCAAATGAACACACTCTAGATACAAGGGGATTATATGACTTTACTTTAATTTTGGTGTATAGAAGTAAATCTAATGTTCTCGTCATTACAGGAGCTGTAAAGTGACAGTTTTTGCTCTTCATCAGTCCGAGGGCTGAGCTGATGGCAGCCGGGTGGCTCAGACGTGTTGGCATGGCAGCAGCCCAAGACAAAAGCCACAGTTAAGAGACAATGGTCTGTGGTGCTTCATGCTGGAGTAGGCGGTCAAGGAAAATTGCCCTCCTGCACTGACGCAGCACAGGCCATGGCAAGGGTGAATCTGATTAACTGTTTTCAGCAGTGAATGGACTCCCTTCAATAAAATGTGTGGTCGGTGAAAATTTATAGTGAGCCAACATTGATTTTTGTCCTTGAGCGAGAACATGACTTCAGAAAAGAAATTAAATGTTCTGTAAATTAGGACATTTAATAAATATCTGTCAAATGTCAGAGAGACGAGTTACGGCCAAACATGGTTTCATTACAGTAGTTTTTAACTGACTGTTAAAAAGAAGTGTCATATTAATAAAAGCTAAATACTGCAAACATGATGCAAGTAGCCAATTCAAATTAGATAATAAGATAAAATAACATAGCTTCTAAAAGGCCCAAATTATTCATGGCTGAATTGCAGGTACAAGTGAAAACATATTTATATATCAACTGAACTGTCAAAGAAAACATTAAGAACTGCAGTATCCTGGACGCTGGTTATCGGCTTGTGAAATTTTCATAATGTAATAAACTGAATTTAGAGTTCCCAGCAGAGCAAATATAAATGTAAATCATTTGAAGTTTAATTTAAAAAGTCACCCTGCTGCTGTACAAATCGGCTTTAACTCAATTTAAGCAGTTTCATGAGATTTTGTTAAATCATCATTTTCAATAAATTCGAGATCATAAGTTGTACATTGCTTATATGTTCCCTGTTTGAATAATCAGTTCATTTGACATGATGAACTTGAAGGTGCAGCTGCTTCATGGAGCCATTTTTTACCACCGCTCATTATTAACACAATACAAAGCTGCTTCCAACGCTGTTATTCAAATATAGACACAGGAAAGCACCGAATTTAAACTGACCTTTATTGTGATTTGCTCTAATTTAACTATAATTAGAAGAAACATTTTATTGAAGACGCAAATATAGTCCCCAACCTACTGTAGGTGTTTCTTAGATTATGAAGAAATGTCTCTCGACAATTTTTATACGTGACCAATGCATGATGGGAAATAATCTTTAGAAACTTAATGTAATGACGGAGTGAACTCATGAGTCAAAAGAAATTACAAAAGATAAAACAGCTTTAACTTTTTTACAGCAGAGCTTTTGCTGTGCACACGCTACGGTCCAATATTTTAAACTTATGTGCTGTTTTATTTGAAGTTTAGATTTCCATAAAAAGACAAAGGTGGTTTTAAGTAACAAAAATCATCTGAATCGACGAGTGAATGGAAGGAGCACAGTGATACATCAAGTCTGCAGTCCATATGCACATTTAACACACAAATTAAAACAGCAAGACACACAGAATCCACTGATCAGTAGAATCATTTAAAATAGAATATTAAAAAGATTAAAAGAGAGTTATGACAAATCATAAGCTCTGTTGTAGTCAA